GCCGCATCTGCGCCTGTTTTTAGCTGCACGAAAGGAGCTTGGAAATGAATTCGTGGCGTGCTTAGTGCTTCCGAGAACATTGTAAAGTGCTTCTGCCCGCTCAGGAAGCCCCCTAATGAAGCCAATCAGGAGTGGATTTGTGTAACACGATGCTTCCGTGCAGCTTAATGCATGAATTAATGCGCAGATATACTGAGCAGGAAAGCCGGATGGTTTGGCTTAACTTGGACAGAAACAGCGCCAGTCAAATTCATTCCACCAACGCATGCGACTTAGGTTTATTCAAAGCTCTGCTGGTTCGCCCTCTCCCCTCCCCCCCAAAGCGGCTGCCGGTCACGCGTCACCAGCTGCGAGCACGCCTCCCGCCCGGGCACCAGCCTGGGCGCCGATCCTGCGCAATTGGACGTGTCCAAGCACCACCACACCAACATCGTCGAGGACTTAGTGGAGCGGCCGCCGGGCTCACGTCACCAGCTGGGAGCAGCCCTTCGGCCCGGGCATCAGTCCCGACACTGGTCCAGCACAGTTAACCGGGTCTGAGCGCCCTTGCGTCACCGTCGTCGCTGTGCGGCGGGCACGGGTCGGTGCGTTGCCCTGCGGCCGGGGCCGGTCGCGGGCGCTGATGGATGCGGAGGCGCCGCGCGGCAGTCGGGTTTCACGGTTGGCCGGCGCGCCGCGGGCGGGCCAGCGCCGATTCATCACGGGCCGGGCCCGACCGGTGCTCTCTCGCGGTCCTTGCGGCCCGATCAGCATACCCGGCCGCCGCCGAGAGCGATCATCCGCTGGCACCGCCTGACACCCGGCTGCGACGCTCGCTGCCGCCGGAAGGGCGGGGCAGATGGCGGAGGGGCGGAGGCGAGGCGGGAGGAGCCCCGGGTCAAGTCACGCCTCGCCACCTGCGCGCCGTCAGGCTCACCTGGAACCGCACGCCGCGTGCCTCGCCGGATGGCATCCGGGAATGGGGACGAGCTTGCGGTCCAAATACCTCGTCTTTTAGGGCGCAACGGTTCTCCGCCATTCCGCGATGCACACCTTTTGTGCCAGGGTATGAGGTAGATGATACCATATGGCCCCAGCAGCTGAGTGCGTCGTTATGTCTCACTAAGAACGGTAGTAGGGTCCCAATGACAACGACAATAAGGTCCAATATTGTGATTGCCTCCTGATACGTTAGCTCGCGCAGATTTTTTGTGATGATTTTAAGTGGTTGGGTGAGCTCTGTGTGGCTGAACTCTTACACGGTAGAGGACTTCTCCGAGAGTGCATCACACCAAGTTTGGAAGCCGACCAGATAGTTGGGAGAGAAGACCGGCAGAAAACATAAAGGTATGGGGAGCGAGCAGGCTGCAGATCAACCGGCAGCTGTGCAAAACCAAACGTTAGTAGAGGCTGCTACAGAAAGTGTCTGGTGTATCTTGACGTTGCGAGGGGCGTCTCCATGGAACAGCTTCCTTATACATGTGTCGAGTCCCATTGTCATACAACTGCATATGGCGAATCTGTGAATCTGTCGTGTACCAGCCTTTCTCTAGATGTTCTAGGTTCATGGACCTTTTCCCTGACCTACCATTGTTTGCGTGTGCATTTCAATGCTTTTGCCGTTTTCCTAGAACAAGATGCTTAGCTAGAATTGCCACTGCGTGAAAGTTGGAGCGACATGTGATGACGACAGTGCTGGTGATGACTGGAACTACACTTACATCGCTATACGCATGCTCAGCGTTAGGCGCGGAGCTGACTGATTGACTGACTGACTGACTCAACAGCTGACTGAGCACTTACGCACGAAGCCCAATCAATCCTATCTTTCGATCTCAATCCCAATCCCGGTCCCAGAGCTCAATCAGTTCAACATTCCGATCTCAATTCCAGTCCCGATCCCAGAGCCCAATCGGTTCAGCCTTCCAATTTAAATCCCAGTCCCGATCTCAGAGCCCAATCAGTTCAGCCTTCCAATCGCAATCCCGATCCTAGAGCCCAATCAGTTTATCCTTCCAATTTCAATCCCAATCCGATCCCAGAGCTCAATCAGTTCAACCTTCTAATCTCAATCCCAATCCAGATCCCAGAGCCCAATCGGTTCTACCTTCCGATCTCAATCCCAGTCCCAATCCCAGAGCCAAATCAACCACCCTTGCCACATTTGCGATACCAACATTCACACATGCACCATACGGACACCCACGGGTCTCGATCGGGACTGTATCGGTGCCATCGGCCGCCCACGCGCGAGTGAGGCTCTATTTAACCTGAGGCGACCAGGCACCAGTGGCCGCTCCTTCAGCGATCCTCTCAGCATGCGAGGCACGGCCATCTCAGTGAGCGGCACTTGTTGGCACCCGGCTGGGCAGCCGACTTTATTGGGTGTGGGCCAGGACACAGCGACGGGCCCTCGTGTATGGCCTTCTGGTAGGTAATATAGTGCGCCAGTGACGAGGCGTTCATTTTCCGCGTGGGATGGCGAAGGAATGGACCATCTTTGCGCAGGCTGGCTGCCTGTGACGCTCAGAATCTCATACTCATGGGATACGCTTGTTGGTCTGATAACGACCTCGGCGTCCGTTTCGTGCG